CACAGAAAGACTTCAGGCACCGGGAGTCCAGACAGTGTGTTGAAGAAAAGCCTACTTCCAGCCGGCACCCTCTATCCCACCACTTCCTCTACCACCACCTCCTCCTTCTCGCAGACAGACTGTTCTTCCTGTAGCACTGACAATCATCATCGGCGGAAGTCTCTTCTTTCCAACTACAGCAGGGGCCGCCTCACTAGGACAACCTCGTCTCCCATTTCTCCTTCGATTGAGTTGATCTCTAGAGGTCCAGATGGCCGCTTCACACTCCCACTGTATGACAATGACACTTTGAGCGTTCACAGCAGGAAAAGTGTAAGGTACGAACAACCAGCCGGAGTCCGGAGGTCTGTGTCACTGCACACTGGTGGGGAAGACAGGAAACAGCCGCCCTTTGTGCTCTCTGTTGATCTCCCACCTTGTAAACCCGTGGAGGTCAGTTCCACAACCCAAATCTGTGACATGGCCCAGCACCCGCCCCATCATAATCCTTACATCTTGGATCAGAAGCCAAGTTACGACGTCTTTCCCGACCTTAGCAGTCTGTGCTCCAACAGTAGTTTGGCCACAATTCCTCATCAACGTCCAGAACTAACTCCCACGTTTCCAGTGCTCCCACATATCCGATCCAGCCTAGGTCAGCCGTCGACAACCGCCAGCACCCTGGTGCTGCAAATGGAGCACGAGCGGGAGAGAGGGAACCTGAGTCACTGCCTGAAGCTGGCTCAGGAGAGGGAGGCGCTGGAGAGGGAGCTCCAGTGGTACACACTGGAAAGAGGCTCTATGAGGGAAATGAAGAGGGAGCAGCCAGACTTGGAGAGGAGAGAGGCTGGTGATAATGAGTTTGTCTGGGAGTATAAGAGCAGTACTTTGCCGCACAGATACCCCCAGAGAAGTGAGAAGAGCTTTGGTCTGTCCCCAAGCCCGTTCTCTTCATCCTCTGTCCACTGGGAAGCCCATCCTCTCATCTCTCCTCCCACTCTGACCCCGGCCGGGTCTCGTTTCAGCGCGTCTTCACCTGCGAGTCCGTCTCGTTTTAAGTCCGACAGCCACCATCTCGCTTCATCCTTCACCAACCAGACCCCCCACCAATCCCAGGAGGCAGGCGGTTTTTCCAAAGACAGATTAAATGTCCCACATCTCTCCTCAAAACACCAGAGACATGAAAGGGTAGAGGCAGCACCAGAGGGCTATAATAATTCACCGCAATCCACAGTCTTAGAAATGCAAACGAATGATTCATGCTCTGAGGCACGAGGACAGAACAGTCTTAGTCATGGCAGCCTTTCAACGTTGACTTTCCGTGGCAATAAATACACTGAAAGCCCTAATTCGGCTCACGATGCAGTGCCAGACTCTTCACAAGTGGAGGCATCGTTCCCCAGGCCCGCCGATGAGGACATGTGTGTGGAGATGAGTGTGGATGAGCCAGAGATGGAGATAATTCGGCCTACAAAGCCGATGCTGCACCACAGAATCGCCTCTCATGTGCAACGAGGGCGCCCGCTGAGTTGCAGAGGCCGGTATGAAGACGTGAGGAGGAGCACAAACTTTAACTTCCGTAGTCCTGCTTCTGTGGACCATATGATCAGGTTCCAGGCTTCTCCACAACCTCCAGAACCAGAACTCCGGAGAGCTGTGGTCAGAGGCTCTAAAATCTGGGACTCTAAGCAGCGAAGTCAGAGCCTAGACTCGAGGAGACGGAATGAGAGCGGTTTTCTGACCCCCGACGCGTGGGTAGACTCGCTCAGCCAAGAGGACTGCTCTGTTGCATCGTCCTATCACCCAGACACTGTGTTCTGGGAACCCCAGAGATTTCCTAGCAGGAAGATCTCCAAGCCTCCTACAGATTCTCCTTCTGCTACCCAAGCTGCCTCCTGCTCACATCCTGCTGTGGCCCCTTTATCTGCAAGGAGCAGTCCAGAGAGGTCCATACCAAACCCTGATGTGCCCTGCCATTACGAGCCAAGAAGAGAGGCATCCATATTTCCAAATACCGCCAAATGGCCAATCACCTACAACCAGGAGGCCATGAGAAAGGCAGAAGGTTACTTGGAGGCCATGAAGGAAGCTTCCAGATGCTTACCCCCCGACACCAACGAGCGAGAGCTGCTGGAAGTGGAAGCAGGGGGCTATGAGGGAGTGCTAGAGTCCGGGAGCAGCTACAGCAGTTATGCCAGCAGCGGCCGAGGCAGCATGGAGCCCGCTAATGGACGCCTGTCTTTGTGTCACCTTTCCCCAACCCTCGCCGACTCACCTGAGACTATAGAGGAGAGCCAGGGGAGCACAGAGGACAAGCACAGTCACCAAATGGAACCAAGCCAAAGGTATTAAGGACATAATGAATGAGGGAAATTACGTTTTATAGAAGAAAATGTGGCGGCTTGCATTTGTAGTGCAAGAGGACCCTGTGTGGTCGATATAATGCTTTCAAACTGAGCCTAATACACATTATCTAATGTAATTTATAGTAGGAAGTAAAGAAAGTAGTATTTTCCCATTGTAATTATCTATCACATACCTAAAGTTTATTCTATCAGATTTTCAAATAAATGTTGTAACAGACTTATTCTTAAAATATTAATATCTATATTTTTGCATAAAGTGTATCTGTAAGTGCACAGGTGTCCAGTTCTGTTTGTATATCATGCTGTGATTTGAAACGCAGTGTCAGCAATGTTGAAACAATGTAAAAAGCAATTAATGCGTTTGAAATGGCTCAACAAACACTGATATATTACATGAAATGTTTCTGCCATACACATTTTCCATTACTATAGTGTCATCGAACAAACATAATATGAAGAAATATGTCTTGATAGGATGATGAAAGAAATATTAGCAAACAAACCTCAAACAATCTGCTCCGTTTTACAAAGTATTAAGCAAAAATTTAAATGTTTATTTAGAAAAAAAAAAAAAAAAAAAAAGCTAAGTGTATGTCTTTGGGCGAAAAGTCTCTAATGGACTTAATGTATAGTTTATTTGGAGTGCTTTGCCATTTGCAGATGTTAATGAGTGTGTGTTTGTGTGTGCATTAAACACTCAAACTGTGTCTGTATTTGGTACTAAGTGATATTTTGTGACCTCTCCAGGAGAAAGGCCTCTGTTGATGAGAATTATGAGTGGGATGCTGCTGATATCTACTCTCAGCCTGGAGACCGTGATGGTGAGGATTTTTCTTTTCTAAGTAAATAATATGCACTTCACATTTTGGTCCAAACGCTGGTTAAATTAAAATAGGTAAATTTGTCATCTGCTTAGAATAACTAATCGAGGTAATGTGATGCAGTGTTGAAGCTAAATGGGGCGATTGTTCACTGCTCATCAAATGCTTTCTTCAGTTGAGTAGACACATCCTCACCGTTTAACCTGCAGGGATGCCATGCTCTTTAATGGATGAGGATGTGGGTAGGGATACTGCAGGTAATTGGACAGGGATGTGGCAACTGATGAAGGGACATTGTATGAAAAGAAAAACTTCTAAGAGGCTCAAGGAACAAGCAGGTCTGCCTTTTAGTTGTGTACGTTGGAGCCAAATACTGTCATTGAACAATCACAACCAAATAGTTGCAGGAACTATGGGGCCACGTGTGCGTTTGCACCACATCTAAAGAACCGCTGAAGATGATTCAAATTTGTGAATAACAAATAAAAAATTTATTGTAGCATTACAGCGTCGTAGCTCTAAGGTGTTTGAGAGGAGACTGTAAAATGTTTTTTTGGTTATTTATATCAAAATATCAAAGTTTTATTTCTTGTTCAGTCTAGATCAATTCATCCTCTGTTTAGACCAATCAGGAAGCGGATTTTGTTTTTAATATTAATACAAATTACAATAAAAGTCCACCTCTTATGCTAATATTGCAGCAAGTCCTCCAAGTAAAAGTAAATATACGTTGATTGTAACGGCTTTTTTTTTTTTTTTTACCAGTCACTCGCCCCCATCGAGGGGAGAACATTTGCCTGCTTCCTCCAAAACTGTTAGAAATCACGGATGAAAAATAAATCTGTTTTATGATGTGACAACACTCTTTAGGGAAACATTCTCAAATCCTCATTGAAGGTTAAGTGACCACCATCATCTTGATTACAATAATTACTTTTTTAAGGTTATAGAACAATTTTGGTCATGGTCAAAAAAAGAAAACCAAAATGTCAATTGCTTGAAATTTTAAAAAAAACAAAAAAACATTTTAAAGTCTGACGTTTTGTTCAAGTACCTTGACCTTCTCCCTACGCAGACTGTGTGATAGCAGTATAATAACTATCAAACATAAATGTGTCATTTTGCGGGACTTGCTGAAATGAAGTCAGACGTTCTCAATATTGATACTAGTCACCCAGCGCTTCCCTATATTTGTGCAAGAACCTGTACACAAGTTGTAGCAGCTGCAGGGTTTGTGTTGCACCAGTGAGGGATGTTAAGCACTAAAAACTCTGCCCCGGCACTTGCTGACACATCAGAATGAACAGAGGAGACCCGGAGCAGAGACACCAGCTATTAAGGATTAGGAGCAGATTTTAGTCGTTGGCCTCTCTGCACAAAATGCAAGTTAATGTTCCTGATTTCCTGAAAGGGTATCTGGGCTGCTGGAAAAATTGTAGGTGCAAATTTATATTGAAACTAGTGGGGGTTATGTATCTTGCCATAATTTTTTAATAAGTGTCAATTTTCATATAAGAAGTGTAGACTTAAATTCAGGGGCTTGCAGTGATAGTGTAGTGTACATGGCAGAGAGCAATATTTAACAGCAACAGGCTATTACAGGAACCCTCAGCAATTTTGTTCTCAAATAGGTGACATTTGTTACTATAATTTCGAGAACATATTAAAAGAAAGGTCATACATGTTTTCACTCTTTGGCTCCTCGGAATTAAACTTGCAAGCCAGTCTGCATTTGCAAGCCAGTATTTAATATCCTACCCTTAACCTGTGCGATACAAATCTGTGGGAGTTCAGGATGGAGGGGACGAGACCAACGGGGCGTAGACATTTAATGAAAGAACATCTGCGGTAAAATATCAGAAAAAGTCAAAGATAATTTCATAAGTTTCTTTTTTTTTTTACCCACAGGCCTGCTTCCTTCATTGAATCTGCCGAAGCCCGCTCCGTGCTGTAGCCTTCCCAGCATGCAGTGCTCCACTAAGGCACTGAAAAATTGCACTCAGCTGTCTTTGCTCCCAGGGCATCAAAGCAGCTGCTCTGCTGAGCCAGAACCAGACACTGTGCTGTTCTGACAGCGCCAGCCTTCGGCTCATCTCACTGGTGTGTCCTTTCACTTATTGACTCGCATCACAAGGCGACAAAAAGTGCATGTAGCAGAAAGTGAGTTTTTGTCTGATCGATGGTAAATTCTTTTTCAAACCAAAAAAAAAAAAAGAAAAGAAGAAGAAGTATCAAAATAGCATTTTTTTTTTGCGTATTCTCTTTGGTCTCTTTATTAAGTTTCACTTGAAAAACCATATGGGTCTCAGTAAAAATAATTCAGACACAAAATCATCCTTATGCAAAGCTTTAAAAGTTGTCTTCGCATTGTGACCAATGATGATGATGATCATCATCATCATCAGGCTTTTGGACATTTCTTCCGAGACAGTCCGCCAATCTGCCGATTACAAAGCATTTTTCTGTGCCGATGGTTGCACCACGGTCTGTGGTGTGATCTAATATGCATTCATCATCCAGGGACGACTCCTTGGCCACACAAGCAAAAAAAAACATCTCTGTCATCGGCAACTGACTGGCTTAGTGGGTGTGGGTGATTACGCTTTTCAATATCATCAATCACCACTGAGTTTAACAAAAGAGATGTTTATGAAATGCCAATAAATAAAGAAGATAGATAGAATATAAAAGGTTATTTTTGCTACACTGTTACTGCTTTGCTTTCGTGTAACACTGTTCCTCAAAGTGTAATTTCCCAACAGAGATCATTATCTGCTTTTTTTTTTTTTTTTTTTGTCCTTAAAATACTGTGAATTTTTTTGGACTCCAAACATCTACTCAGTCTGGATGAAAGCCCAAGTTTCCTCTCCAGGCATCGTCTCCTTGTTCACTGGAGCAAGACCTCTAATTATGTTGGGTAATTGAAGAGGGTCAAGTTAACTTGTCGGGCTTGTCCTTGTTTATTTTCTATGGCCATGAGGGGAAATTTATTTTTTATTTTTTATTTTGACTTGAATAGACCAGGGGGTCAATTCACTGAATGATTGCAGCTTTTTGTTTTTTTTTTTTCTTCCAGCAACCTGCTTCACACTTACACTGTCATTCAAAAGGCACTTGGGAGATAACAGTGGTGCTTTTAAGTGGCACCAGTTGAGTGGTTAAATGGCTTCCTTGCCGGATGGTACGTCAACACTTCCTCCGAGGGCTCGGGTAATAATTCAGCATTATTGTCAGATTGCGAGTGCTCGGTCACATCAGTATTTATAACAGCAAACATTCAGACCAGAATATGCTCATTTCAATGGGATCCCTGTGATGGATTCACTCAGAGAGGTGCTTTATGTCGTGCTCATGTTATATTGGAGTTAATGTAATTACCAATTTCCATCATGTAAAAAGCACTGTCGTCATCATGCGAGCTGTAATTATGATTTTTTATGAAAGACCTGATATATCTGCCATTAAAGAGGCAGGCGCAAATGCTTCACGTCAACTAAGCTCCGTTGTTGTATGTGATTAAACTCAACTTTAATTGATGGGTATATTGACTGTGCTTTGGATTTTAAACTCTACTGTAATATATAAACGCTCTTTATATAAATTGAAATCTTTCCCATTTCCTCCATCCGTCCCATAAGACGTGTAGCATTAAATCTCGGTGACTCCCAAATTTGTGCTGTTGACCATTTGAAAACCATCCTGACAGCGCTGACCTTTGAGGGAATGGAAAGAATAGGAGAATCCGAAATGGAAGAAGCCATCCTATTATCTGTGTTGCACCACTCACTCAGGGCAGTTTTTTTTTTTTTTTGTCATACAGTAGGCGAGCTAAAAGGCAGCCAGAGAGGCGGGAGGGAAATAACACTCGCTCACACAGCTCTCAACACTCGATACAGAATCTGTGGGGGGACAATCTACCAGGGGCTGTCATACCGTTAACTAGGTGTTTGCTCCTGGAATGACAAAAACAGCCTGTTGACCACACAGCACTGTAGATGAGCTGCCACAATATATACTGTATATTTAAAAAGAGGGCTCATTAGTTACAGTTATGACCCCCACAATAAAACCCTGTTCTACTGATTTGCCACAAACAAAACTAGCTACGGCTAACGGTAAGCCACTGCCCTGTTACTGTCACTTAACCAAGCTCCCAGCGCCAGCTATTTAACAAGAAAGTTCAAATGAATTTCACCGTGCTACTCTCTGGTTTGACTGGGCACTCACATATGTGAAGAGTTTTGTTTGTTCTAATGCATCACAGTGGAACACAGGTCATCGCATCCGGCAATATTTGATTGTTTTATGTGTGGTATACAGTGGCTTCAGAAAGAGATACTTTAAAATGGTAAAAATTTCTAAAAACATGTTTTCACTTTGTGTCCAACGTATTAAGAATCAAAAAGTAAACACTCATTTACAAAAGCAGTCAGACCCTTAATTCAGTTCAATCAGGAGAGACAAACGGGGTGAGGTTGTGTGAAATATAGGAACCCCCCCCCCCCCCCCCGGGCTCTAGACACTGGTGGTGGCGGTGGTGATGGGCAGAAGAGAATGGCCTGTGATGAGGAGTGGACTCGACCTGGTACTGGATGTGAAGACTGGGGCTGGAAGGGGCGGAGGAGGAGGGTCGCAGCAATACGCACTGAAATGACAGCTGACAGCAGAAGAGTAGAGAACAGATTTTACAGTTTGACAGCAACAACGTGATTGGCTGGTCAACTGTGGCGAAATCTGATTGGTTACTGAAAACACCTTAAGTCAGCAGATTAAAAAAAGAAGTGGGGTGAGAGAGTAAGAGAGCGAGAGAGAATTGTGAATGAATGAGGTATAAAGATAGTCTTCCTGACTGAACTTATGTTGAGCTTCATAACTTTGGCAGCGTTTACAGCTTTGAATCTTCTCTACGAGTCTCTGCAAGCTGTGCACATCTGGATTTAGGCAGTTTGTCCCATTCTTCCTGGCAGATCCTCTCAAGCTCTGTCAGACTGGAAGGGAAGAGTCTGTGAACTGCCATCTTCAGGTCTCTCCACAGATGTTCTATGAGGTCTGAGTCAGGGTTTTGACTGGGCCAGTCAAGGACAGTGGCTGTATGCTTCAGGTCATGGTCATACTGAGAGGTGAAGCATTGCCTCATTCATCCTTCCCTAAATTCTGACTCCATGACATGGTGCTGCCACCACCGTGCTTCACTTTGGGGACGGTATTTAGCCTGGTGATGAGCAGTGCCTGGTGTTCAGCCGACATAATGTTCGGAGTTCTGTCTAAAGGGTTCAGTCTCATCAGACCAGAGAATATTTCTCCTCATGCTCTCAGAGTCCTTTCAGTGCTGTTTGAGTAAAAGACATATGACAGCCGGCCTGGAGTTTGCCAAAGTGGCTTCCGTCTCGACACTCCACCATAAAGACCTGATTTATTGAGTGCTGCTGAGGTGGTCGTCCCTCTGGCAGGTTCTACTGAGGACTACTGAGGCTCTGTTAGAGGCCGTTGGGTTCTTGGCCACCTCCCTGACCAAGTCCCTACTTGCCCGGTTGCTCAGAAGAAGAGTCCTGGTGATTCCATTTCACAAGCATTGAGGCCACTGTGCACCTGGGAACACTCAAAGCTTGGACTTCTTGGAGTTAGTGGCTCTGCTTTTGTCTTGACATGCAGTGTGAATTGTGGGACCTTATATACACACACACATCTGTGCCTCTCTAAACTATGTCCAGTCAGTTCAGTTTACCACAGCAAAATGTTTCAACACTTTTGTAAATGTAATTACTTTTTAATTTTTTTTTTTTGCAAATGTATTAAAAATCAAAAACACTTTTTCTAAGAAATGTAGACTGATGGGCAAAAATAGGAAATTTTCTCTACTTAAAATTAAATCTCTAGCAATAAATTGTGCAAAGAGAGAAGATTTCTGCATCTTTCTGAAGCCACTGTATATCCTGCATTGTGATACATATTGACACTGAAAGCATTGATTTTCACTAAGCCATGCATCCCAGTGCAGATTAAGATGGTTCCTGTTAGTTCTGGTGGATCAACCCAGCAACTATCCAGGCACAAATCTGCCACCACTGCCCTAAACCTTCTGTGAGAAACATGTTTATGCCTCATGCTCTCTTTTCTACATGAACAGTGGAGGAAAAAGGAGAAATGCTTGCAGCTCTAGCTCAATGCCTTCACATTAGTCAACCAAATAATTAACTCAGAACTGTAGCAGAGCATTGTGGATATCCATCCTATAATTGAAATTCACTCATAGAGGCCACATTTACTGCAAATCAATGTTTCACTTCTGTAGAACATTTTCATTTTCTGGTCTACACATATTGTACCTTGAGTCTATAAATGATCAAACCCAATGTGCTGCTCTAGGGATTTGTAGTCAGCACTACTTTTTTTGCCTATGTTTTTTAAACTGAATGTAAATATTGTGCTTCCAGTATATCAAACACACAAAAGTATATGGAAATATTGTTTTTGTATACTGGATATAATGCTTTTAAAGAAATAATTCCCCCCGTTTTTGAAAGCCAGGGTTAAAACCCGAACAACAGATTCCTTCGGGGAACTACACTGTGTTGTATGTTGAATGCTCTTGAGGATTCACTCATGAAATGTTCTTGCAGAAAGTGAAAAACACAACGTAGACAATATAGAAATGTGGATAAGCTTCCAAAGAATACAACAACACAATGGAATAAAATATCAGAGTAAACCTGTTCACACAGAGGTGTGGACAACGGGGAGGGCTCATAAAGATGATTGTTATACTGCTACCTTTTTCAGTTATTGTGTGTACTTAGGGGGATTAGCTTTAAAGCAAGCACACTTTTATTATGCCCATTAAGCGGTGAATGAATTATTTGCAAATGCCAGGAAGTGACTCTCAAAGCTAGAAACTAATCAAGGTCTTATGAAAGGAAATGTCACGTGCGAACTGAAGAGTGTAACCATATGGTGCGCATACCAGGGTACCTCGGTATAGTACTAAACTCGCCATAATAAATGAGTAAGGGGAGTCTTTGTGTGTGAGTGTCAACAGGGACCTTCCCTAGAGTGGAATCTCTGTATTTAAAGC